TGCCAAAGAATAGGTGCTTTCCAATTGTGGTGCTAGAGAAGACTCTTGACAGTCCCCTGGACTGCAAGGAGATCAAATCAATTAATTCTAAAGGAAATCAATCCTGAATATTCACTGGAAGGACTGATGCTAAAACTGAAGCTCCAATACTTTGGCTACCTGATGCGAAGAACTGACTCATTGGAAAAGACCCTGATGCTGGGAAAGATTGAAGGCAAAAGGAGAAAGGGGCACCAGAGGATGAGATGGTTAGATAGCATCACTAACTCAATGCACATGAATTTGAGCAAACTCTGGGAGATAGTGGAGAACAGAGGAGCCTGGAGCGCTACAGTCCATGGGGTCGCAAAGAGTAGGACACCACTTAATGACTGAACAACAACAGATCTCTCCCATATGTCACTGACAAAGTTTGTGAGTATTATGTCCTTAACTCCATTTTCCCCACAAGACTTATGGCTTTCCACACCATTATCTTTAGCAACTGCACATCATGTTATAGCAGAACAAACTATATTCTTATTTGAGGAAAAAATTAATCAATGACCAGTTTTATTTTTTTCAATGGTAACAGATGGACAAACTTCTTGAAAATCTGCTTAAGCATTAAGCCAAAGTCAGAGAAAAGTCTTTAAGCTCCCTCCTGAAGACATAATTTTTATTCCAAACTCTATCCATTGACTTAGTAGTTCCCAAATCAGATACCAGATTTGGAACCAGAGTGTTATTATTCACCTTGAAATAGTGAACAAAAATTTGGATTTGTCAAGAAATAGAGGAGACACTGAATGTATCTTCTAAATTCAGACCTTGATTCTGAAAGAGAATCTTGGTAGGTACCACTGAATAATGCCACCTGTTGAATAATGCCACCTGTTGAATAATGGGATGTTCAATAGCTACTCAATAACTATCATGAAAGAATATGCAGCAAAAAAAAAAACTGCTGCAGTATAACTATAACAATACAGTAGAAACCACAGAAGCTTTACAAACTCTCCTAATTCTTGCTAAACTCAGAGGTGACAGAGCATTGGGAAACGCAGGAGGTCAGGTATGTTTCTTAGTTTCCATTCAGACAAGAAACAGGAGGCAGAATGCATCACATCACATTGAAGCCAAAGGCTGCCTAAAACCTGTTACTCAGAACCAAAGGGCAAATAAAAATAATGCTGCTATTCTGCAGGCACAGGAAAGATAGAGAACACGATTGTTTTGCCTGTTTGAATGAACCTGTATGTAAAACCAGGACTGATACCAGAAGTAACAAACACAAATATAGTACAACGTGAACTCTTACAAGCCAGGCAAAGTTGTTTGGTCACTACAGTCTTGATCCTGGCACCAGTTCTTAAAGAACTATATTATTTTTAAAAAAAAACTGAGATTTTTGTTTACATACAAATGCACATATGAATGCAAGAGAAAAAAGTGAAGAAAAAGAAACCATCAAAATGGTAAAGGTGGTTTAATATTTGGGCAATTAGATTATGAGCTTCCCTAGTGGCCCATGATAAAGAATCCACCTGCCAATGCAGGTGATGCAGGTTCAATCCCTGGGTCGGGAAGATCCCCTGGAGGAGGAAATGGCAACCCACTCCAGTATTCTTCCCTGGGAAATCCCATGGACAGAGGAGCCTGGAGGGTTACTGTCCATGGGGTTGCAAAGAGTTGGACATGACTTAGTGACTAAACAACAGCAATAACGAATTAGATTATAGCTGATTTCTTTTCTTATTGGTAGCGTTCATTATTTAATGCAATAAGTGTTTACTATTTTTATCATCAAAGGAAAACAAATATCTTTTTAAACTGTGAACTGAAAGAAAGTAATCCCTGATCATAGTTCGTGTAGAATCCACAGTAAACCACCAAGTGTGTCTTCTGCTTTCCAAAGGGTCAAAGGTGAGTGGACTGGATTTGAAGGTCACTCCCCCCATCACACAGGAAAATCCAGGGAACACTGCAAGAAACTCGGTCACAGAAAGGTACACGAGCACAGAGACAGACACTACACACTCAGAGTACATATAGGACCTGTTTGTTCCTGGTTTTACCACCTAGCATTTTGCTGACCCCCATAGCTATTCTGGAAAATCTTTACCTTTGGGGTAAAGCTAATACAGTCACTGAACAGTATCTTGAAGCAGAGAATATGGAAATACGGTCTAACCAGAGACAACCGATGACCAGAGCATACCAAATGTACAATAGGCCACTGGAGTTTTTTTTTAATTGAAGTACAGTTGATTTACAATATTTTATTAGTCTCAGGCGTACAGCATAGCGATTCAGGGGAGTTTTTGTGTTTTTGTAGATTATATTCCATTATAGACTATTATAAGATATTGGATATAATTATAATTCCCTGTGCTATGCAGTAAATCCTTGTTACTTATTCATGTGCAGTAGTTCTATACTCCTAATTTTGTCCCCCTCACCCCCACTTTCCTCTCTGGTAATCATAAATTTGCTTTCTATGTCTGTGAGTCTATTTCTGTTTTGTATATAAATTCATTTGTATTAGTTTTTAGACTCACATATAAGTGGTGTCACATAGCATTTGCCTTTCTCTGTCTGACTCACTGCACTAAGCATGACACTCTCCAGGCTCATCCCTGTTGCTGCAAACGGCAATATTTCATTCCTTTTAGTGGCTGAGTATGATCCCAGTGTGTGTGCGTATGTGTGTCTGTTGATACTGCAAATAATGCTGCTATGAACCTCAAGGTACACGTATCTCTTCAAACTTGCATTTTTGATTTTTCCAGATATGTACCCAGAAATGGGATTGCTGGATCTTATGGTAAGTCTATTTTTAATTTTTTAAGGACCTTCCATACTGTTTCCCACACTAGCTGCATCAATTTACATTCTAACAGGGTAGGAGGGTTCCCTTTTCTCCACACCTCTCCAGCATTTATTATTTGTAGACTTTTTGATGATGGCCTTTCTGACTGGTGTAAGATGATATCTCGCTGTGGTTTTGATATGCATTTCTCTAATAATTAGCAATGTTGAGCATCATTTCATGTGCTTGTAAGGACCTGCAGGTTTTATAGCCAGCTTTCTCTCAACATCATTATCCCAACTATGATGAATATTCATTCCTCAAGCCAGAAAGCATGTATAGATTAATTACTAGATACACAGCACTATTTTAGCCACCATGGTGAATACAAAAGAAACAGGAGCAGTCATTCTCTTCATAGCATTCACTGTATGATAGCCAAAAATATGACATACATCAGAAATATTTAAAAGACATAAGACAAAAGAATTAAATAGCTAAATGAGTACACAGATCAATTTAAAGGAGTACACTGCTCACTATGGACTTAAATAGCTGGAAAGGCTTCAGGGAGGAAGTTTTGGTAGCATAAGAAGGTAGACAAGGGAAGTCCAGGTACCATTATCAAGATAAGCAAAGTCACTGGGATAGAAAAACCAACACTGAGTCTGAACAGACTGTAATAAAAACCAAGTTGGGGAACAATAAATTTAAGGAAAGAGAGATAGCTTTGGGCAGATTATAAATCCTCTTAAGGGTTCATTTACCTCTAATCCATCAAATACACCATTATCAGATTAAGAACACTTGTGGGAAAATCTGTGTACAGACACTATGCTATATATGACAGAGAGATATGATATCCACTCTCACATTAATCTTCCAAAAGCAGGTGTCATTATTCCCACTTCACAGACAGAAACTGAAATTAGTTAAACAGAGATGTTAGTTAATTTGCTCAAGGTCACCAGGTAGGCAACAGAGTTTAGAACCCAGGCCTACTTGACTCCAAAGTCCATGCTCTTTTTTTTTTTTAATTATCCTATACCATCTCTTCCCAAAACACAGCTGTGACTATATCACTCTGAATTTACTATATCTCTCCTCATCACAGCATATTCTCCTATCTTTTTGACTATCAAGTGTCCCCATGATGATCCCATGTGCATCAAAGCCTGCTCTCAAGAGAGTATCTGCAGCTAAAATAAAAGTGGCTAATAGCAGTTTATCCCACCCAGGAGTATTTTCACTGTTACATGAATCTGAGGCTTCAGTTAGAAAGAAACTCCAAGTCACTTAGTGGAATACACTTCTTACCTTCTCAGAGAGCCAAGCCAAGAATGTATTTTATGATGTCCATTTTCATAGCTTATAAAGCTAAAGCTCACACAGTAAGAATCTCACCCATAAACTGAGGGTCTCCATGGAAATCTAACCTGCCCCAATCCAGGAGACAAAAGGCCAGCTGTGGCTACAGGTTTGCTCTGAATGGGAACTGAAAGTCCTGATATTTCACACTTTAGCTATATGACATAAGGGAAATGTATTTGACATTTAAATTCTTAAATGTTTTCTAAACAGGTTGCCAAAAAAAATGTGCTTTCTAATAATTCTACAAACGGTCTTTTACCATCTCTGGGAACCAGGAACATCATCTTGAGCGCTCTCATCTTTTCCACAGTCAAAGATCCTACAGGTACCAAATGGTGAAAGTGTCATCTCTCAAAGGCACCTACATGGGCTCTCAGGGTGGGTAGAGATGAGCGTGTAGAAGAGCCTGGCCCTGAAACACACTGCTTCACCGACTCAGTGTGAGCAGAACCCTCACTGACTATCCACTTGCTAAAACCGGAATATACTAACTGTTAGCTCAAAGGTCTATGGGTAACTTGGAAGTTCCCCAGGAAGTATTTTAATGAACCAAGGATGATACGAGTTGCAGAATGTTTCAAAATGGCTTGAATTCAACATAAGAAATTTTCCGATCCAGCTTAGAAAATATGTTGAATACTTTACAAAGAAAATAAAGGAGGTCATTTGAAAATAAAAATGACATTGTGAACTCTTCCTCAACAGAAGTTGTTATACCCTTCACCGTAAAGAAACCACTTCCTAAAAATTCTCATTCCATCAAAGCTCTATCACGTATGTAACAGACTTTCAGGGTGGAGCGCTTGTCACAGCGGTAAAAGCAGAGTCATGCCCTCACGTATCTGGACGGCTCCTCCAAGTTCTGGTCGTTCATGTCAGCAGGGACGCTCCGGGTGGCCAGTGGTCCCTCTGCAAAAGGTTTTGGTAATTGGCCTCTGAACTCTGATGGAATGAACTGAAGCTGCCAACTGTCAGAAAACAAATAAGAAGAATGAGAAAAACACAGAGAGCTCAGATTGCTAAATGTACTTGAAATACATAAGCGAAAAAAAAGGAAATTTCATGTGAAAAATGTTTCATTTGGAGACAAAATATTTCTGAGAAACCTTAGCCAGAGAGCATAGAGGCAGAGGTCACAACTCAATCCAAGATCGTTGAGAAATTTTCAACTTGAGATCTCTCATCCCATTTCACCAACTCTCAGCAGTGAAATTTGCAACAGTGGTTATACCATCAAACAACTAGAGAAACATCAAAGTTCACTGCCAATTATCATGTGATCAGGGGACCTCTCAAAATTTAAGCAAGTTCATCAGGCATAGAGAGGAAAGAGTAAAATGTAGGAACTTACTGTGGGAAAACTACTTTGTTCCTGAGTAATCCTCAAAAGTATCTCTAGTTATGAAACTGTTTCAGATGGAAAAGGCAAAGGCTAAAGCAAACAGTTTAAAAAAAACAAGCTTTAATTAATCATTAATGACTGATACAGGATCTTTATCAAGGAAAAAAATATTAGCACCAGCTGAGCTGCCGCGGCCAGTCCCCAAATGGAGCAACATGACTCATCTTAACCTGACTTCTCTTTTCCCTAAATAGGACTCTTCTCCGTCTGAATAAAGCAGATCCAAAGGCACTCGGAGCCCATGCTATCACATCCAACCATAGACAGCACGGAGGAAAGTGGTGCACAGGTCTTAGCCACAGCTTTCCCCAGGGTCCACAGGGTGAGAGAACGCTCACTGTCGCTGGACAACAACTGTGTCTTCTCTAAAAACACCCTAGACACTGAGAGTCTCTAAATCACTTTCAAAAGTGGGTTAACATGAGTTAGTCATAAAAATTTCAGCACAGATCCTCAGGAAGAGCCACGAGCAGGAGCCCAGGACCCACAGCGTGCCCAGAAGCTCCCAGCCCTCGGAGGCCAGGGCAGCGCAGGGTGCATCACCAAACAGGCCCCGGGTGCTCGGCACACCGCCCACGGCTGCCTGAGACGGCCAATCACTCAAACACTCCCGAAAAATCCAAAGCGGAGGAAAAACTAAGGCGACACTGCCACAGATCTGCTATTTCTACCCCTTGATTTAAAACTCTGAGAATTAAAGGGCAACTTACTTCTCAGGCAGAAGGAAGCTGCTGGGAAAGCGATGCCACTCTTTTCCGACACAGACGTTGACGGGTCGGCCTTCAGGAACGGTGTGGATGGTGGGGTCTGTGGCAATTCGATAAAATTCTGGATACAAGTCAAGAGGTCCGTGATACCCTGGAATGAGAGAGGTGTGTGAAAGCCGAAGATGAGAGAGGTGAGATTCTGATATTTAATTACAACGTGTGTTAGTATCCCACTGTGATCCATGTGAGAGGCACATAGCAACTCCAGCAGGAAGCCCACTCAACTGCTATCAAACGCCCCTACAGTCAGGAAGATGACTACAGCCGAGGCCCAATCTTTGCCAGAAATCACTTGCTTTCTTGCCCTTCTCTACACCCTCCACCTTTTTAATTTCATATTCTTTCCATTTCAATATTCTTGATCCAAATGAAGATTATAAGAAAGAATATAATCATGGGACTTGAGCCACAACTCTGCATCCTATGTTGAAGGCTTCCTTAATTCATTCTTTAAAAGAAAAAAAATAGTAAGAATAGAGAAGAAGTGTATAGTTAATCACACTAAAAGGAATTCTCAATCTTCTCTTCAGTTCTAAGGTACAGATGTCTCATCTCATTCTTAATATGAAGTCCACAGGCTCTCCACATAGAAAAGTCCTCCCCCTCGGCTTAAGCTGAATTGTATTAAACACTCACACGTCAACCAAGGTAAAGTGAGTATGGATTAAGTTACTGTCTGCACATCTACCTCTGAACAGTGCCACAGAGCGAGAAAAAGACAGGAGCCCGAACAGGAAGAGGGTTCCTAATGCCAGCCAATTCGACGTCACGGTGTAATGCTCCAGGCGGTATCGCTGAAACACGAAGTGGTAACATTTCTAGAAGGAAAGAAAACTGTTCTGAAAAAAAAGATACACCTTGCAGAATACACATCATCACAAGACATCACCATAACTAAGAGGAAGGAGGCAGCAAAAGAGGCTCTACCAAGAGTCTGAGCATTTGCACACAGTGAGGTACCCACTCTACATTCTGAGATTAAAGCAAACTCTGCTCAATTGTCTGCAGACCACACTCACCAGAGGGCTTGCTAAGAATGAAATCTCACTGGCTTCACAGGAAACTTATTTGAATATTTTCCTAGTGACTAAAGTCCTAATAATTTTTTTTAAAATACTTAAATGAAAATGTTTTTTGGCAGTTTTTTTTTTTTAATATACAAAGTATCTCAATCTATTCTGATGTAACTGGTGATTAACCTTCACTTTCCTTACTGACAAGTTTTCATCAGAGTTTTTAGTAACAACAAAATGTCTCATGACCAAACAAGAAGAAAACAAAATTCCCTTCGTGGAACATTAGGAAAATGCTGTTAATTATATGCTAAACTACTTCACAAACTAGATGAATATCATTAAGAATATATACACACCTGCATGAGTTCTGCAGCCTTTTGGCACCTTCCCATGAGATTTCCTTCCTTCCTTCTTTCCCTCTCAGACTAGAACTACTTTTGGAAAGCAATTTTGCAATACTTAACAAGGGCCATAAATATGTTTGAACTCCTTTCATACTTTTTGGAATCTTTCCTAAGGAAACAATCCAAATACCTAAACAAAGATATTTATCCTAGCATTATTTATAATACTGAAATAAGTGAGCAACCTAAACTCTAACATAAATTAGGTCTAACCATTATATACTACCAATTCAATATATTATGTATTACATAATAATGTTATATATTATATCCAACTCAGAACACTATATTGCTATTAAAATATGCATATAGACATGGCAACATAATGATAATATTAAGAGGGATACAGTTACATGAGCCTTAAAGTACAATCATAATAGATTCTGTTATATGACAGGCAAAAATGCTAGAAGGAGATTTTGTTAGGGGAGTAGGACTGATTTTAGAAAGAGGTAAAAGAAAAATTATCTGTGATGAAATTAAATTACTTTTATAATTAAAATTATTTTTTAAAACTACTGTCCTAACAAGGATGAGATTTTAAAACATTATGCTAAATGAAAGAAGTCAGTCACAAAAGCCCACATATTCTATGATTTCATTTATATGAAATGCCTAGAATAGGCAAAGCTATAGAGATACAAAGTAGATTAGCTGTTGCTTGTGGCTGAGGAGATATTGGGAGGGGGAGCTACAACAGCTAAAGGATACAGGTTTTTGAGATGATGAAAATGCTATAAATTGACTGGAGTAATGCTTACACAGATCTGTGACTAGCCTAGAAAACACTGTATCATATACTGTAAATGAGTAAATTCTGTGGTTTGTGAATTGTGCATGCGTGTGTGCTAAGTCGTTTCAGTCTAGTCAGATCCTTTGAGACCCTACGGACTGTAGCCTGCCAGACACTTCTGTCCACCGCATTCTCCAGGCAAGAATACTGGAGAAGGTAACTGTGCATGCCTCTAGGGGATCTTCCCCACCCAGGGACTGAACCCTTGTCTCTTTCATCTAAACCTGCATTGGTAGGCAGGTTCTTTACCACTAGCACCACCTGAGAGGCCCTTGTAAATTATATCTTACCATAAATCTGTTAAGGAAAAAAACCTATTACCCAAATTAATCCTTTTTTAATAACTGCAAATGGAGCAGAGGGTTTAAAAAAAAAAAAAAAGAGTCCGACACTTCCAAGGCCATAAATACAGAAATATTCATGATTAGTTCTGACCTGGACAGGTTTTAAGCCAGGATTACAATGTCCCATACTGCGAACTGCCTGAAGTAACCCCAGACACCTAAGCCAGTTGCATTCAGGTTTAATAACCGAAGAACAGACGTTCCATCAGCTCTGCTGTGCTGTTACCAGTCTGTACTGGGCCCAAATAACTACTTAAAAAACTCCTTTCATAGCAATTGGATTCTTGTTGGCAAGAGAGACAAATTATTACTAACACAAATTAACACTGCAAATATGTGATCAGCAAACAACAGTACAAACAACACCTAAGCAATCAAAGTTTTATGATCTGTATCAGCTTTAATGTATTGATACCATCTCTTAGGGGGAAGCATTCTGTAATTTGCCTTTAAGCTTGTTGAATGATTTAATGTGAAACAGAATGAAGCAGACACACATTTCCCTGAAACTCACCTGAAGTGCAGAAAGGGCCACAGCACCACAGAGACATATTAGTGGATACACAGGGAAAAGAAATCTCTCCTCTTTGTGAGGCTGGATGAAGAAAATTATAAACCAAATATACATTGGAGCCAAGGTAAGCCAATATGGGTGGCCTAAATTCTGAACTGTAAAACACAGAAAAAAAATATCCACCTTTCACCATATTAGACCAAAACAGCACATTTACTTTCAAAGTTCTCTTGATCTCAAACTTAGGCATATACCCTAGGGCACCCCATAAAACATTTCAACTCTTTTATTCACACTTTCTCTGATATAATTAAGTAGTCAAACAGAAAGAGGTATATACTTCTTAGCTCTCCCAAGAGATCCAACATTTAAAAGTAGGTACAATACTGGATTTAGCTGGAACACAAATGAATGTCAGGTGAATGGGTCATATAGCTTAATAATTTCTATACTGGATGAAGAAAAAAAAAAAGACTTCTCTCTCTAGAGAGAGAGGAGTCCTGCCACTAAGACTGAAGATTCTTGAGATTAACCAAAAGCATGACATAAATTCATTTCTTAGATTTTAATTCTTCTGTTTACTACATTAATCTTCTTACGTATATACCAAATAGCTATAGATGAAAGGAAAGAAACAAAGTTGAATTCTCAAACTCATCACTGGTTTCTGTCAAGCTACAAATGACAAAGAACTTGTTTCAAAGAATATATAAAAACATTCTTAAAGGAAGTTTGCTGATCGAGTTTTCTCTCCTGTTTGGTAATACCCATCCACTCTGTACCGCAAAATTAAAGCCAAGAATGTACTTTAAACCATATGAAAGAACTGCAGGAATTTAATGAGCACTATGACCCTGGAGAAGGAAATGGCAACCCACTCCAGTATTCTTGCCTGGAAAAATCCCATGGACCTAGGAGCCTGGTAGGCTACAGTCCATGGGGTCACAAAGAGTCGGACACAACTGAGGGACTTCACCTTCACCATGACCCAAGCACCTGCTGGAAAGTTCCTGTGGTCATGGTCAGGAACATGGATACGGAGTAGTAAGCCTACAACCCAGAGTGAAGGCATCTCAAACTGTGCTCCTATTAGCGGTAAGGAGTAGTACATGGGAATCACTGACCAACGGTGGATCGACAGCGCCCCCTGGTGTCCATTATGTTTACAACGAGCAAGTTGAGATGAGAGATCAGGGTTGTCCTCAGAGCCCACCTTAGTTAGCATTGCTTAACCTAGTGCTCCTTAGTTACACATGCTTTTGAAAAACCAGGGGTTTTATTTTGGCCTTGAGACATGCAGGATCTTAGTATACCAGCCAGGGACCAGGGATCAACCCCGCACCACCTGCAGTGGAAGTGCACAGTCTTAACCATCAGGGAAGTTCCTGCAGAAATTCTTTAGCAATAAACACTCTTGAACTGCAATAACAAGTTTATCTTTTTTTCACTTATGAAATTTTAGGCTATAATTTAGGATATTTACCTTTCCAAGAAGTATCTTAGGTTGGAATTTTCTTTATTATAAGAAAAAAAGTTTATCTTCTACAAGTAAACAATCTTTTCCTCTTTTATATCTTAGAAGATAACAAACATATTTTAAAAACATGGCCTAAAATTTTGGAACATCCTCTATAAAAATTTATAGTTTCTGTTAAACTATATTTCTGTTAAACTATGTTAAACGTATTATTTCTGTTATAAAACAAAATTTTTTTAAAAAATATATAAAAAATAATGTTTCTGTACATAAAATATACAAAATACATAAAGAAAAAACAGAGTCCTCAATTTCTTACTAGGTGGACATGTGGGTACATGACACAATTTTAAACCAAAATTGGATTCCTACTTTAGAGAATAGCTTAATATACTGTTTTTGTTTTTACTGTTTTTATACTTATATCACAAGCATTTACAAATATTCCACAAGTATAAATTATTTTTATAGTCAGAAAAAGCTACTTTTCAAAAAAAAAAAGAAAAGTGATCCTTAATAAACACAAGGAATGGAGGAATGCGTTAATACCTCAAGGGAACAAAGAGCTGAATCCAAACGTGGGACACTATGTACGCAAGATGAGTGACATAGTTTCTTTAGAAATCTTCAGAAGGACACAGGTGAGGGGGGAACCTCTAGAAAAGCTTATGAAACGTAACACCAAATTCAGTATATGACTCATTTAGATCCTGCTTTAAAAAAACTATAAAAGTTTTTTTTCAGACAGTGTAGGAATCTAAATACTACCTGGGCATTAGATGATATTAAGAAAAAACTGTGAATTTTGTTAGATAATGGCATCATGGTCATGTTACAACAAAAGTTCTAAAATAAAGCAAAAGTGACTCTGAAGGCTGCTTTCATATTCTATGAACACAGCAAACTCTTTATAAACTATTAACTATGGAAAGGAAAACGGGGAATGGTATGGAAGGATCACATAGCATCCAAACCAGACCAAAAAGTTGGAAATGAAATCTTCTTCCAAAACTCAAATGAATTTCTGCTCAGCTCTGTCTCCCAATCAGAGCAAGCATCAAATGTCGGGGAATCTCTACAAGGCTTAGTTTCCAGATTTTTGGTTGAATTTCCCAGAGATTGTTTGCCTCTATTTTTGATTATCTTAAGCGATTTACCATGCTAACATACACTCCTTTAAATACGCTTATCTCCCAAGGTTTTTTAAATGCTTTTGCCTCCCCAGATGATTCTGTAAATCATACAGACTTCCTCACTTGAAATTATTATCCAGATTATCACATAGGTTAACACAGGTAGAATAAACTATAAACAGAAATGGAAAAATACAATAAGCCAACCATTTCCATAGGAAGAAAATGGAAAATAAAATAAGTAGATTGTTTTTTATTTCTTGGTATACATTGTTACTTCTCTTCCCTCCCCGCAAATCTATCATTCCTTATTCCACTTACCATGAAATCTCTGCAGTAGGTATTCCATGAGAGAAGTCAGTGGTAAGACCAGGAGGGCTAAAGCAAAGACTACATTAAAATTCAGAAATCCATTAATTAAATAGAAATACCAAGGTTCTGTGCCTGAGGGAAATAAAGAGACAAGAAATCATTAGTGAATGCCTCCAATACCTACGACAATGCTTGAGAGTGTTGCTTGTCAAGTAAATTCGATGATCCAGCAGCTCATGTAAGTGAGGGCCCACAAGCCACTCCCCCCCACCTTAGAAATCAGGTTTCAGATATTTAGCTATCATGACCACTATTTGTTGTTGTTCAGTCTCCAAGTTGTTTCCAACTATTCGAGACCCCATGGACTGCAGGGACAGGCTGCCCTGTCCCTCACCATCTCCCAGAGTTTGTCCAAATTCATGTCCATTTAATTGATGATGCCATCCAACCATCTCATCCTCTGTCGCCCTCTTCTCCTTCTGCTGTTAATCTTTCCCAGCATTGGGGTCTTTTCCAGTGAGTCAGCTATTCACATCAGGTGGTCAAAGTACTGGAGCTTCAGCTTCAGCATCAGTCCTTCCAAAGAGTATTCAGGGTTGATATACTTTAAGATTGAGTGGTTTGATCTCCTTGCTTTCCAAGGGACTCTCAAGAGGCTTCTCCAGCACTGTAGTTTGAAAGCATCAATTCTTCAGCGTTCTGCCTTCTTTATTGTTCATCTCTCACATCTGTACATGAGTACTGGACCACTATATCCAGCCCAAATGGGACTAATACTTTTCAGAAAACCAAACAATAAAAACAGCTTAGCAGCGATCTTGTGATTTATAAGTATTTATTTGGTCTTCACTCCCATTCCTAGGAAAGAGCGCCTAAAACGACCTACCTAATTCCTAAAGCGGTGAGAAGTATCTTTTGTTATGCTAATTTGGGGACTTTTGGCAAAGTCCTAGGTAACCTCAGGATGGGGACTAGTTATGAGAGGAACCACCTAGTGATTGGAGAGTTAGAACTTTCAGTCCTGTCTTTCCCTCCTCTGGGAAGGCGAGAGGGTATAGCAATGGGGTTTAAACACCAATGGCCAGTGATTCAAGCAATGGTGCTCAATTAATGAGACCTCCATAAAAACCCAAAAGGACAGTGTTCAGAGGGCTTCCAGGCAGGTAAACAGTAGGGAAGCACCACGTATCTTCCCGCCCACCCTGCCCTATGCATCTCTTCCGTCTGCCTTGTCTCCTTTCTAATAAACTGGACAACAGAAGTAAGTGTTTCTGCAGTCCTGGGAGATGCGCCAGCAAATTAACTGAACCTGAGAAGGGGGTTGCTGGAACTTCTAACGTGGTCAGTCAGAAGCCCAGGAGACAACCTGGACTTTCACAGGGCACGAAGCAGAGGCCTCCCCACCGAGGGCTGGGGGGTGGCGGGGTGGGTGCAGTCTTACAGTGCTGAGCTATACATAAGCCCGTACATATATGGGCCTTGCCTATCCGTGTATACTATCACATTCTAGTATCCTTCCCCCTGATGTGCTCAACCACTTTTCAATAGTGTCTGTTGAAGGGGGACCTTCCACAAAAAGCGACGACTTGTCTTCCTGAGGAAAAGCATGTTCAGAGACCCAGACCTTGCTCAGCTTTTCGGAATCAGAATGAAATAACATGACTGAAAACACAAGCCTTGCTCGCACAAGTTCTGATTCTTTAACTCCAAACCCTGAAACTCAGACACTGAGAGACAGCCCCCGTTGGCACATTCCGCCGGTTTTCATCTGCTCTTCCCTCGTGTGATTACTTCAATCAGGCCATGAATGACACATGCGGGTTTTAATCACTGTGTGTTGTGACAGCCGCCTTGCACCACGGCAATTTCCTGCAATCAGCATTGCTTAAAAGGGTAATCAGAAGGCAGAGGAATACTCAGAAAAGCCTGACATTCCTGCAGCTTGCACAGCAAAATAAGATTAGAAACCAAACCCAAGAGGCGAGAAACATCTAAGGGAGGAGGAAGATGCAGAGGGGACCCCGGGGAAGGACTCAGGTCCGACAGCGTGTCACCTTTAGGGAAAGCTCGCTCCTTCCTGTCGAAACACAGGGATAGGGGCTGTCCAGGAAGAGAGACTCTGTCCCAGGCCAAGCTCATTAGAGACATCTGCATCTTGTATTCTTTACAAATAACCTTTTAGGTTACAGAAAACTGCCTGCCTGCAGTCACTCCAGTTGCGTCTGACTCTTCGCGACCCCGTGGATGGCAGGTAGCCCGCCAGGCTCTTCTGTCCATAGGATTCTCCAGGCAAGAATACTGGAGTGGGTTGCCATTTCCTTCTACAGAAAACTATTGGATGGTTTTATTTTCAAAATGGAAAATACACGTCTTCTCTGGGTTTTAATTACTATTGAACAGCACGTTTCCTAAATTGAGTCCTTTAGTAGAAGTCCAGTTTCCAGAGAAGTCAGTTTTGGCACAATCATCTCCTGACGGCCAGTGTGGAGGCAGTGCTATCAACCCTGACCTCCCTTTTTCTTTACAAAATTCTGGAAATTTGACCCTGAGATGATAAATCAGAGTGACTAGAAAAAAGGGAGTCACCCTTCACATCATCTATTACAGATGCTTAAACATCAACAGATAAAAGCTTCTTTCTCTCGATCCTTGCTAATATATGCTTTTTCAAGGAAAGTGCTCTAGTGTTTTTCTCTTTATCACAATTTACTATGCCCTCCTGTTACGGCTGTCTATCTTCTTACCAAGGTATACTGTATGCTGAGATGTGGAGCCAAAAGCATTAAGTTGGTAACCTCAATTATTTTTATGTGTTAGGAGCTCATAGATCAAGTTCATAGCTAGGCCGTGAACATTTCGTAATAGACTGTTACTTCCCTGAAGGACCGGATAGAAACTGGGGAATAAGTCAAAATTTGGGAAGGTTCAAATGACAACAGTCTTGAAAACAAGGGCAAAAGGGGACCAAAAAATAGTGAATTCTGTTAACCAGTGTCCTCCCCTACTTGATAAGGCATCTATCTCAAAAGAGTAAAAACTTGTATCTTTTTCCAGGGAGATACTCAACACTGCTCTCAGAAATTATCAAAAAGTGAACTATGTATTATAGAAAAAAATATGTCAGAATGACAAGCTAAGCATTTAACTTGTGCAAAATGTAAGGTGAAAGGAAGCTGGAAGCAGGGTCTTTGCAGAGGGGGACTCACCTATCTCCCTTTTATGGAAAGTGCCTCAATCCCTTTCAATCAAATGAGCTCAAGGGAGCTTTGTTAGAGATTAAAGAAGAAGGGATAATGTTTACTGTTCCATTGACTGAATGAAGGGAAACTACTTTATAGGCCTACAGTTTTACAGAACTCTAGGAACTAAATTATAATAAATCATCCTTATAAATGTCAAATTTGTGCCACCAAGAGGAAAAATCCACCGAGGTTCAACACAAAAGATTAACAAAAGAAAGAAGGCTCTAGAACAGGTCATGCTAGCAGGTGACCCTAAGCATGCCTCCAAAGCCTCCTCTGGGGCTTCATCCTCTGCTGCTGCAGGAATGGAAAGCTGTGGGCCTTCTGACCAAGGGCTCTAGCCTTTACCTTCTGAAATCTCCCATCCTGTGGTCTGACAGATTTGATAAGACAGACAGGCACGGATCATATCCTAAGCTCCAAGTGGCATCCCTGAGCAGACCCGCTGTTGTTTCTGAGGGAAGAGCACTTCTTACACCCGTCCTCCCACACCTGTCCTCCCACGCCTCTCCTCCCAGGCCTATGTTCTCATCAGACAGCACAGCTCTTCACACAAAAAAACTCAACCTCAACATCTGAGAACTTGAAATGTTACAAGGGGAAGAGGCCAAATCAGTGCCAAGCCTTTCCTTTTTGCAACACAAAATTTCACCTCTTGATCTTTGACCCCATAGAGACGTTTCACCTACAACTTTGCAACTTCCATGTCTACACTACTCTAAATTTCCTAAGCATCAAGTATTCTTGACCTCATCCAAGTAATAGTTGTGAAAAATTGCCTCTGTCCCCTGGTTTCAAAAGACAAGAGTCAGTCCAGGCCTGGAACGTGTCATTAATAAATGTTATTTGGCCAAGAAAGTATAGAAAGGTCCCTTTGAAAACCAGGAACAATAGAATAAATATTTACAGGTTTTCCTCAGTTTATGATGGGGTTAAGTCCTGATAAACCCATCATAAATTAAAAACATCGTAAGTCAAAAACACATTTAATACAGCTAACATATCAAATATCATAACTCAGCCTAGCCTAACTCTAACGTGGTCAGAACACTTACATTAGCCTACAGTCAGGCAAAATTCACCTAATACCAAGCCTGCTTTATAAGACAGTGTTGACGGTCTCATGTAATTTACTGGCTTCTGTACTGAAAATGAAAAACAGAACGGTTGTCCGGATAAAGAATGGCAGTAAGAGCTTCCACGGTTTACCCTCAGGACGAGTGGCTGACTGGGAAGTGTAGCTCACTGCCACTGCCCAGCATCACGAGAGATACCTTATTGCCTACTGGAAAAAGATCAAAATTCAAAGTATAGTTTCTACTGAATACATATTGCTCTCACACCATCATAAAGTCAAAGAAAATCATAAGTTGAAGCACCATAAGTTGGGGTGGGTTCTAAGTAGCTTTAGTCGTGTCCAACTCTTTGCGACCCCATGGACTGTAGTCCGCCAGGCTCCTGTGTCCATGGGATTCTCCAGGCAAGAATATTGGAGTGGGTAGCCATGCCCTCCTCCAGGGGATCTCCCCGACCCAGGAATCGAACCCGTGTCTCTTATGTCTCCTGCACTGGCAGGTGGGATCTGTACCACTAGCACCACCTGGGAAGCCCCGTAAGTTGGGGACCATCTGCATATTATCACAATCACAATGGAGAGATTGACATTATCTTGCTTACGCCTGTGTAGTTCTTACCTAAAATTGGCTAATGCTGTAAAACTACCTTAAATTTTTAAAAACGAACTCAATATTCAATCTTTTTGTCTCAGCAGTCTGACATTTGACATTCTATTTTTCTGCAATGTACCCACCTAGTGTCTTCCTGGCAAACTCCTACTCTTCCTTCCAGCTCAGCTCAAAGACCACCCCCTCTAAGAAGTCTTTCCTGACA